ACTTTGGAGAAGTGTCTATTTTTTGATTTTTATTATTTTAAAGGATTCACTGTTTATTAACTGACCAGATTACAAAAATAACCATGGTATCTACATTTTTTTTATTTTATTTTTTTAATGTATTTTTGTTGATTTCAGAGAGGAAGGGAGAGGAAGAGGGAGAGAGAGAGAGAGCGAGAAAGAGAGAGAGGGAGAGAATCATCAATGATGAAAGAGACATTGATCGGGGCTGCCTCTTGCACGCCCCACACTAGGGATGGAGCCTACAACCCGGGCATGTGCCCTGACCGGGAATAAAACCCGAAACCCTTCTATCCACAGAGCCAAACCAGCTAGGGCCAGACCTGTCTTCTTGCTGCCTCAGTTTCCCCCACGATTGTTCTCTTTTTAAAATTAAGGTATAAGGTGGTCAGGTTGATGAGGGTTGATCATTGTATATGCCCATGTAACCGCTGAAAACATCTCCAATCTCTGCCCCCACCCCCCAGCCCGGTGGGATGGGGACTCCCCTGGCCTTGTTGCGCCCGTCCAGCCCCACTTGCTGTCGGACAGTAACACTTCCATGCGTCTCCTTCTTGAGTTTGAATTGAGGAAAACCTCTCCCTTGAACACTTGGCTCCAACCCTATGGTTTCTGAGCTGGTTTGGATGTCTGAAGCTGGGCCGTCTTCATGCCACTGTCTCCTCTCTCCTTCTTCCCAGCTACCACCCCTGAAAGTGGCGGAAACCGAGGCTAAGGACGGGAAAGTCCCCGAGAAGGATGAGAAAAGCAAGCACACGCATAGTTTCAAGGTATTCATCTTTCTTTGGTATGTGTGTATTGATTTCAAGAGGAAGGGAGAGGGATAGAGAGATAGGAACTTCGATGAGAGGAACATCATCGATCGGCTACCTCCTGGACGTCCGTCCCCTACTGGGGATCGAGCCCACAACCCAGGCATGGGCCCTGGCCTGGATTCGATTCATTCAAAACTCAAATTACTTCTATATTTACATGACTGTTTCTGCCATGGGAGGAACCTTGGCATCTGTTTTCTTAGTTATGGTAGTGGTCCACCTGCCCTTTTATGTTTTAAATATATTTCTGTGGATTTCAGAGAGGCAGGGAGAAGGAGAGAGAGATGCGAGTATCAGTGATGAGAGAGAATCATGGGTCAGCTGCCTCCTGCACGACCCACGCTAGGGATTGAGCCCAGACTGGGAATCGAACCGTGACTTCCTGCTTCACTGGTCAACGCTCAACCACTGAGCCACACCGGCCAGGCAAGACTTGGGCTTTTTAAAGAGTATTGTTACTGTCAAAAAAAAAAAAAGCCACTTGAAATTCAAATGCTTTTCCCTTCATTTTTGCAAAGAGGCTGCAGGCCAACCAAGAAAACAGTTTAAAGAAATCTCAGGGACAGGGGTTGTGCTATCCCTTCAGGTGGACGGAAACGGATGCAAACAACAGAAACCAACTCTGCTCAATTACGAGAAAAGGGGTCTCTTCAAAGAATACCGGGCAACTGACAGAATCACGTGCAGGCCTCAAGGGCAGGTTCAAAGCCCATCTTTCAGGAGCGGCAAGTCAAACCACACGAGATCCGGGCTGTCGGGGCAGCCCCCCCCACTGCCCTGCGCTGAGTGCCACCGCCTTCTGAGGGAGGGAGGGGCGGTGCTCGGCCCCCAGCGCTGCTGTGGTCACCACAGCCCTTGCCTCCCGTCACCGAGCTGGTGCACGGGCCTGGCAGAGGCGAGGCCCTGCTCGGAGCCCCAGCTGCAAGGCAGTCTGGGAAAGGAGGTCTCTGACCATCACAGTGCAGATGGAGGAGGTCGCTTTTGCTCCTCGCAGACTCATGCAATGGGCAGTTCCCCAAAGAGAGATGCCGGGAACCAAAGCAAGTGGCCAGGCTCCTCCTCGCACACAGGAAACACACCAGGGCTGGGCCCAGAAGGCTCTCCATCGCCTCAGAAGCTCCGCCCAAGAATGGCAGCCAGCAGGCAGGCGGGAGGCCCAGGGGACAAAGATACTTGGTCTTGGGGGGTGGGGGGAGCAGAGTGTGACAGGTGTCAAGAGGCTAGGAGCAGCCCTAGCCGGTGTGACTCAATGGATAGAGCGTCAGCCCGTGACTGAAGAGTCTCACGTTCAATTCTGGTCCAGGGCATGTACCTCGGTTGCAGGCTCGATCCCCAGCGCTGGTCTGGGTGTGTGTGTGGAAGGCAACTAATCAGTGTGTCTCTCTCACATCAATGTTTCTCTCTCTGTGTCTCTACCCCTCCCTTCTCCTCTCTCTAAAAATCAATGGGAAAAATACCCTCAGGTGAGGCTTTAGAGAGAGAGAGAGAGAGGCCAGTTGCATTTACCACGCAGTTGGGGCCAGAGCAAAGGCTGGGTAAGTGCCCAGGCTGTTCAGCTGGAAATCACATCCTGCCCAGAACGTAAATGTCACGCTCCCAGGCCCAGCACAGCGACCGGCCTCAGCGCCGTGCCCAGGACTCCGCAGTCTCCGACCAATGGCCTGCGCCGGCTCTTAGACCCAACCTGTCTGGGTCAGGAAGGCCGAGCCAACAGGAAGCGCAGGAACGCTATCACTGACCTAATCTTTTTCTTTGCCAAACCAGCCCCACGAAAATGCGTCACTGCAGAAACCCTAAGGAGGACCAGCTCGGTGAATTCTTTCGAAGGCCGGTCACCTTAATCATTCAAACCGGTGGCACGACGAGGACAGGAATGCTCGTCTGGGGGCGATTGCGGGTGCTATGGCTCGTGAAAATTAAGGCTCATGCTCCTTAGGATCCTCAGTGCCAGAGCCGGGGGTGATGTTTGCGGATTTGTCCTTTTGCGGGCACCGTAATCCTGGGTCTGCTACTGGAGGCGATCACTGGATGGCAGCGTGAGTAAGAGAGAGCACACACATAGCCCAGGAGAGATTTACAGGCGAGCTGGGGAGATGTTTGATCTGTTTACACAATAAATCAAGGCCAGAAACACAGCAACCTGAGAAAAGGCACCCGACACGAGGCACGGAGACCGGGTGTGGCCCTTTCTTCCAAGGAGGAAGGAATCCCACCGAGCTTGTCCTTGGCACCCTCAGCCTCCCCTTTCTGAGACTTTTTCATCCTGGGGTTCCCTTGGACCCCCTCCTTCCCACCACCATAGAACAGAGGGGCCCAAAGTCTGTCCTCAGAATAATTCATGCTCAACTGTGAGTGACTGATATCAGCCAAATCAGGAAACAGAACCAAGTCAAACTCTCAGGAGCAAGCTTCCAGAAAGACTTGGGAGATTCTCACTGGGAATGTGGGGTGCTGCATGGGGACGGGGTCCCATGAAGAGACAGAATGACCAGACTCCCTGGGTCTGGGTGGAAATGTCCAGCTCCAGTGTATGAAAACAAAAAAATCACTCCTCACAGCTGTGGTTTCATGGTACTATCCAAACATCGAAGTTAAAAGGAAGGTCAGTGTAAAGAAAAGTATTGACTCAATGATGAAACAGATGGCATGACAAGACCCATGACTGAAGTTTGCTGAAGGATGTCTGGGAGCCTGGCTCCTCAGAATCTGGTCCTCGGGCGGCATCCTGGGTATCTCCGGCCCCACCAGTTGGCATCCGCATTTTAACAAAGCCCCCGGGACTCGCATACGTGTCAGAGTTTGAGAAGCACTGTCTAAGAAAACCTGGGGAGAGCATTTGCAGTGCTGCGATTGGTAGATGGCTCACATACATCCTGCTGAGCAGATGCGGCAAAATTGGGTCAATCTTTGCCCAGCGGAGAGAATCCTTCTGAATGTCCATGGCTCCTTCCTTCACTCTCCCAGGAAGCTGTTGTTTGTGTTTTCACTGTGAGCATCGCCCAGGGCCTCCCCACGGACCTCCCTTTGCCTGCAGGGAATCATGGCCTCTGC